AGCCATATTTATGGTTAAAGTTGTCGTTGAAACGTTATCTTAATAATATATACATTCTGGTTCAGCATAGTCTTGGAATCCGATTAATTGCTATCAATCTTTCTATTCTATTTTCAAATAATGCTTCTACTATCCGGGAAGCAGCTGCCACAAAAAGTGGTTAAATGACTTAAATCACTTTAGAATAACAGAAGAATAAGATTAAGAAAAAGGGAAAGGTTATAATTACAAACTACATTAAGTATGACCGGTCATACTTTAATTAAGAGTGTATGATCGGTCATACTTAGTGTAATCTGTAAAAAAATTTTGTAAACAGATCATTCTCTTAAGAAAAATATAGAAGATTTGTATCAGTTTGTTCCAGATAAAAATGTGTAGAGGATGGAGAAGAAGATGAATATGGTATAAAGGAGGAAGAGAAGAGAAAGAAAGATTATCTTAATATCAAATAATGGTAGCTCAGTTGGTGTCAGGAAACTAAGCTGGTGGGATGAGAGCATAAGTTCAATCCGTTCCAGTATCGTTGTCTTTGGGAGTGATTTAATGTTTTAATTCAAGGATTTGCTTCAAATAAAACTAATCGCGAAGCGATAAACCGATTGAAATATCTCAAAAAATAAAATAAAAATCTTAATGATGCCATATATTGCATGCAATATGTTATATTAATTAATAAGTACTATTTAACTAATTGTATTTAAATAAATTTACAAGCATGGAATAGTAAAAGATTTTCTTGTCACATGCAAATCTTAGGATAATCATTGAAATTAGTTCTTCAAACGTTAAAAGTAGGCTCAATAACATACAAATATACAATGTTATTCGTGAGCTCTAGCAGAAGTGACGATGCCCATATAACCACACCTCACATGAAACAAAATAGTTAGGCCAATGAAGTTGGAGAGTACCTCGTGGGTATGGGCGCAGCTTTATGCTGACTTGGCTAGAATTGATTGGCCACTGTTAATTGACTGATAAAAAAACCTTGATACTGATTATTAATAATAATTAATAATAGAGGCCCGGCTTCAAATTAAATTGAGTAAATTATTAATCAACAAATCATGCATATCGGATAAAACAATGGTGATTATTGAAAGTTGAGTTAAATTAGAGGCTATATTAGATTCCAATCCATAACTTTGCAAGTAAAATTTAATGTTTATATTAATTAATTAACTAGCTAATGCAAAAAATTAAAACAGACTTAAAAGATACACATTGGAAAGAGCTTGGGAAGAAATTATTGGCCCCCAAAGAGAGTTGAGGAATATCAAGCCGTCACTCATTCTCCAACATCCTCCTCTTTCACCTAACAAAAGTTCCATCCTTAGACAAAAACACTAACTTTCACAATCATTTGTTTTATCTTCTCCTTCGGTAGGGATAATCATAATGTTATTATATAATGATCTTCTACGTCACGCCCTACCCATGACGTGTACCTTCAATATGTGGTGCTGGTTCACATCTGTCCTCCAGCGCATGCTCACCCTCCCCGTTGATTTAGGGTTTCCAAAAAATATAAAATCTATTGTTAACACAAGTTATCTAGCTATGTTATTTCCTACTAAGAACCCTCTTCTTTGTTGTTTTCACTTTGCATAATACTTCTTACTATAGTTCATTATTTGAAAAAATTCAGTGACAATTCTTCACTTAGCTTTAAAAAATAATATACTATATTGTTACCTTTAACAGTTAGCTATTTAACATTTTCTAGGAATTCATTAATTTCTCTAGCTCATTAATCATTACCTTGTAATAATTATTTGATTGATACGGAGAGCTTAATATCAATTTAAATGAATCACTGTTTCTCCGACAGGATTATATTAATTGGATGATTAATGACCATAGTTCCTCTTTCAATAACTGTCTCGTCGTCCCCACAAAACTTCAGCGTGGGACCACTAAGTTCCCATTTCTTGCAATGGCGAAAAAGGTTCATCCTCTGAATATGAAAACCGACAAGTGACCAGTTTTACAAGTAATCCTGGTATCTTGGTTATATATGTTTTCCGTCGTTTTAATTAACATTAATATATAATCATACTATGATTCCCCCTCCCCCCCCCTTTTGTCACAATCATACATATGCAGTGCTCATGAGAGCTCTATTATTTTCCTCAAAACCTTAATTAAATGTGCTATAATCAACCCTAATTATGGAAAAATATTTTATACACATATTTTGTAATATTAATTCGCAATAAATGATAACCGTTGATTGACGAAAATCAACGGTTAAGATGTGATAGTAATATTGGTAGTAACATTATTTGGTTGTCACAATATCCTATCCCATTTTGTACGGAAAAATGTTTCTGCAGTTTATGCAGATAAGTTATCTGCATTTATTCCCAAAACGACGTCGTTTTGCGATTGAAATCTTAAAAAATTATAAATATAAAGACTATTATAACCCTGAAATAAATTAAAATTATAAAAACTCCATGATTTCCGTCCAAAACGACGTCGTATTAGGCTTACTGCAGATATTATCTGCAGTAACTGTAGAAAAAATGAACATTTGTAATATGTATAAAATTAGAATATAATTTAAAATACAATCAAAACAAATAAAATATGTAAATATAAATATATTTCAATATGTTTTTCGTTTATAATTATATATATGTTTGATTAAATAGTTGAAGATATATAACTCTATATATAAACTATGAGTTTAATATATCTCAAGTTATTGGAGATAATTTAATTTCCTATATATATATAAAAATATGTGGGACTTATATTTTTTATTTCTTTCTCTTCTCTTCAATGACTTGACATGGACTACATATACTTTTATATTTGTATAGAAGATAATTTTATCTCCTATAATATGAAAAATATTCAACCCAACATGAATAATCAAATAGTTGAAGAAGAGAGCGGTAGGGACCCCAGTCGAGTCATCATCTGCCATGTATACTCCCCCTCATTATTATCATTTATTTAGATGACACATGCTGTGACAAATATCCTCTTTGTCCTCATCTATATTATTATTGCCTCTGCTTGCATCTCACATCACTCGGAAATAAATCAAAAACGAAAGAAAAATCAAATGATATATTAGTAATTCAATTTCAGATAAGCAAGCATACGACACGGTCTCATAATTAGGTCCTCAGTGGACCCCACATCAAAGACAATTCGGGCTCCCCACAGTACATCGTTCCAAATTGTTTATTATGTGATCGTAAATGGAACATATGGGGTACTTCCGAATTCATGATTGACATTAAATTCTAATTCCAGCTATCAATATGAATTATTTGTTGTGTTTTCCTTATAATTATAAGAGCTGTCCATGTTCAGCTCGGTTCACCAGGTTAATCAAATTAATGCTTCGAGTGCTTGTAATAAATTGAATCTTAATTGGGGTTTCCATAATTAATTAATTGAAAAATGTTAACGAGCAATTCAGCTCAAAATAAGTGATGATCTGATGAATAATTTTTATATTTTTTTAACACAGTCACTTATGCAATAGTCATTTGGTGGACTTGAACCATAAATATTATATAGATATATTTTTTTTTACCTTGACTTAAATTCACTAGAAAGTGAGAGTAATAATAATCGAATTCATGAATATGTAATCACAAAGTTCAAATACTATGATAGAACAATCATCTATATTTCTCTAAAAAATATATACATGAGCATATAGTTATAGCTCACTTCTTTAACTCAGTTACTCAAATATGGTCTGTCTGTGTAGCTTTTTATCTGTGTTTTCCAACCTTCCAATAAAACAAACAGATAGAGCTAAACTTGTCCTTTGGGAAATTGAATTGAAGTAAAGCCTTTTAAATGCGACATAGGGAAAGATTCAACCTACAAAGGATCGTGTCTCACAGAAGTATTGGAAAGAAAAAAAACAAAAAACTTGATTTTAGGACTATTACAAGTAAATTACCTTCATTCAATATACAATGCACCCTAAAGGAAAATTAAAGCGCAATTAATTAATTAATATACATGAGAATCTAGATTACTAATTATAAAACCAGAAAAGCGTTGGACTACTACTACTACTACTACCAATGAGGTCTCCTTGCTTACATTTTGGGTCGATCGAAACCTTTTTAACGAGATGCAAGGAAAGTTGATCAACGAACGTCATTAAGGGAAGTAAACGGAAATGATTATCAAAATATTTAGTCATTGGATGGATACAAAAAAGACGGTTTGGTACAAAAAGACTCCCTTAATGAAATGAATATAGGTTAGATAATATCTAATCTAAGAAATGCGTGTAATTTTATATTATATAAATTTATTCCATTTTTATATAAACATACAAAAGCGTATATAATATGCCTTTATATAAATTTAAAGTTATAAAAAAAAGTATGACATTAATAAAATAAAAATATATGTATTGAGTAAAAATGAATCATTTATTTTCTTAAGAGTATATATAACACATTTTCTTATTGAGGAAGATAATTAATGGGAAAAATAACTTTTTAATAATAAAATGAAAAGGGGTATTTTGGAGGGTTTTTCTAATAATTTTACTTTGTCTTTTTATTTTTTTTATCAATATATGTTGCACAAAATAAACCAATTATTCTATTGTTATTAATTAGATGATTTCTTGTAACTTTGGTATTTCTGAAACTTCCTGCTGTATTTCTAACCAGTTACACAAGCATGGCCCTGCCAGAATATTGTAGTAAAGAAACTTTAAATGGCAAACTCTCTTATCTTTCAAATTATATATATATATATATATACGGCACCAACCTTTCTTCCATAATACCTTAATATTTCAAATACACAGAAGGAGTAATCCCTCAAAGCCTCAATTATAACGATTTTCCATATTTCTCAATATCCACCTCTACCATATATCTATAAACTATTACCCGTTTAAAATTTCAAAAGGATCTTAATTAGATTTCCCTCTCTCTTTCTCTTCTCTCAGGCTATTACACACCTTTGCTCTACTTCCTTCAAATTAAAACAGCAAAATCATGGGTCTTAGAGACATTGGTGCTTCACTGCCCCCTGGGTTTCGGTTTTATCCGAGTGATGAGGAGTTAGTCCTTCATTACCTTTACAAAAAGATCACAAATGAGGAAGCTCTCAAGGGTACCTTGGTTGAAATTGACTTGCACATATGCGAGCCATGGCAGCTTCCTGGTATGTGTATGTGTGTATATATATATCTATATCTATATCTATATATATCTATGTGTGTGTATATATATATTATCTTCCTTGCTTGATCTCGTTACTTTTAACTGGTTGCTGAGAAATCTTTGTTTTGTACTGCATGGCCTCATCCATATCCTTGTTTCACATTTCTTGCTTATCTTTTCAGGGTCTTTTGTGATGAATATAATAATCACAATGGCTACTTCACATTCACAAAGAAAGCTATAGTCTAATCCTTAGTTTTCTGATAAACATGATGTCAATAGCAGTTTTAATGGCTTCATTAACTCGAACAAAATATTCAAAACAATTCTGAAAACTAACATAAATAAGAGGGGCATATAGAGTTAATTACAGAAAAGTATAGCAGGAAAGCTTGCTATCAGAAAATAGAGAGAGGGAGAGAGAGAGAGAGAGAGAGAGAGAGAGAACTGAGAATACAAGAAAATAAAAGGTCTAAAAGGTAAGGGGAGTGGGTGTTACAGTTACGTTACGGGTAATAGTTTATTCAGTTCTTCAATGATTAAGGTAATAATAACTTCTTGATTAATACTCGTCTCTCGCCAATAAATAAAGCATTTAGTTTTTTATAATATAATATCATAATATACTATACCATTTGATTTATATCAATATGTACATATATATATGTACCTTAATAATTGTTTTTGTCTTTTGTAAAGTTTGTATATAGTTGTTTTTTATTTTGCTGTAAGCGCGTCCCAAACACGTTCTTTTTTATGTCTGATATATCCTTATTAAGATCGATACGATGTCTTTGTCTACCTTCTGTGCAGATTCTATATTCCCCTTTCTTTATGTTATGATTATTCTCTTCCCAGCTATTTCCCACCATTTTCGATTTCTTCAATCAAAGCGTAGTTAATTTTTATTCTTCCACAGTATACTACAGAGTACAAGAATACCAATAATTACTTTAATTTAATTTCTCATATATAGTACTTCTTTCGTGGGATGAATTATCATATTATCCTTTTTTTAAACTATGTTTAAGTAAAAGACCCTATTTTTGTACATATATATATACTCTAATTCTTTGCCGATGGACTCTCTTGTGTTATCTGTTTTTGGTGTCAAAACAAATGTAATTTACATGCATGGCCTATACAAATACATGAGGGTCCTTCTCATGTGCAAATATCGTCTCTACTGCGTAGTTAGTTCCTTAAGTACCAAAACCGTTGACACCAAACCTTGTTTGCCGGTCCATGCATATGTATCTATATAAATACATATAATATAAATGCACATGCACCTCATAGTATTTGTTTTTCATACACAAGTGTTTTGGCTTTTTGATCATCATGAGTTTGTCAGGGCCTCATTTATATAGAATTATTGTTTTATATCTATTTCGATTATAAATAACTAGTATAACTTGTAGTATTCATTTACTACTACTTTTGTGAATGACAATTAACGGTTACCCCCATATTTTGCAATAAACAGACACCGGCCATCTGTAACAGCGTAGATGCCCTAGTTAGAAGCTATAACCTAGAGGACCAATAATTTCTCTTGTGAAGAAATTAATATTATTCATGCATAGAATGGTAGTCACTTTAATTTTACGCTTACAACCTATCTATATAATTTTATTCAAGTTGAAAAAGCAATGCATTCTCTCCAAGCAATACTTACATGTTTTTAATTAACTGTAAGCAATTTTCACCTTGATGATCACTCTTGTCCTTTATTACACACACCATGGTGTGTGTACTTTTTTGTGTGTATTTGATAATCAAAAAAAGTATTTTTATATTTTAAATTCTATATTTTTGTTTACACATGTTAATGATAAGTTAATTATTGATTAATAATGTCTAGTAATTAGTTAATGAACTAATAATATTTTATTAAAAAATTATTAGTTCATTAATTAATTAATTAATTAACCTTATCAACTCAGTTTTGAATATGAGGGATGTAGCATTTCAAATGTAGAAATAACAAACTTATTCAAGAATATATAATTAAATAGAATTTCAGCACCTCTCAAAGTAACTTTTGTTGGGCATGACATACTAGATGTCAAAGTGATTTTGGCTCGTTAACGCTCACCTGTATATAAAATATATATATGTTCGCTCAATTTAAACTAAAGAAAAACTCTCTTTTATAAATGAAATGATACTTGATCTTTCTTACGTAAATTAATTAGTCCTCAAATTCTTGCACATCATTATGAAAGCCAAGAAAAGAAGAGAGAGAGAGCAACGCATGTTACGCATTTACATGTATATAGCAAACACCTTGAAATTTCCAAACACCATGTTTAGGTCATCTTTATCTTTATCTGGTTGGATTGGAAATTTGAAAATTGCTTGTAATTGATGAACTAGTTGACATGTGATGGTGATTACACCGAGGACCTAATTAATATTATTATTATCTTAAATATATTTCTTGGACACAATTAATTTCAGATAATGATTATTTATTCATATCTATATATCAATCTATTATATTTGTATCTTTTACCCTTATTATGCCTGCCTGAGTTTGTTGCCCACTTCCTAATACCAAAAACTGATCCATCATGTTACATGCATGCGTGTTCCACAGAGGTGGCTAAGCTCAATGCAAATGAATGGTACTTCTTCAGCTTTCGTGACCGCAAATATGCAACTGGCTTTCGGACCAATCGGGCAACGACATCTGGCTATTGGAAAGCAACGGGAAAGGATCGTACGGTGTTCGACCCAATCACGCGTGAGGTTGTAGGGATGAGGAAGACATTAGTGTTCTATAGGAACAGAGCTCCAAATGGAATCAAAACGGGATGGATCATGCATGAGTTTCGCTTGGAGACCCCACACATGCCCCCTAAGGTTGATTTCCACTTCTCTCCACCTCTCTCAATTTTCAAACATGCCAACGAATCTCATGATTATCTTTCAGTTTACGCGCTTATAGAATGCTAAATGGCCACTAATTAGAATATTCCGAGTCTTTATATATATATATATATATATATATATATATATGGGGAGGGATCATTTGACTCCAGAGTAAGATTTAAAAGTCTTACTCCTCATCCCAGCCATTGATTTCCGTTCATCCAACGGTTATCATTTATTTGAAATTAATAATTAATTAATGCATTAAATTACTAAATGATAACCGTTGGATGAACGGAAATCAAGGGCTGGGATGAAGAGTAAGACTTTTAAATCTTACTCTGGAGTCAAATGATCCCTCCCCTATATATATATATATATATATATGAGGTAGGATCATTTAACGTTAGTGTCAAATTTAAAATTTGACATCTCATCTGAGAGTCATTAGATCAAAAAATATTAACAACTCTGATTTGTAAGTATGTGACACTATTGATCTTTTTTTATCTAACAACTATCAGATGAGGGTGTCAAATTTTACCTATATATATATATATTAGTGAGGGTTATATTTATAAACTTTTATAAACTACACTATGTATTCTGAGAGTACACTAGGTTACACTATGTACTCCCAGGAGTACATAATGTAATTTACAAAAATTTGTAAAATGATCATTTTCCATATAAGGGGAAAAATATATTTACAAACTTTTTGTTACAAACTACACTATGTCTGACCGGTAAGACACTCTTGAGTAGAGACTTACCGGTCAAACATAGTGTAATTTGTAAGTTTGTAAAAAATTTTTTGTCAATATAACCCTACTATATATATATCCACCGGTCGGACCTATTATAGGGAGCCATTCTTCCAAAACCGTTTTATCCATTATCAGAGTTCAAACACGAGATCTTTAATTAAGGAAAACAAAATTCGTTACCACTTGAACCATTGTTAGTAATACAAACAGTGTTTGATAAATTAGTGAGTGATATTAGAGGTATATATAGTAGAGTAGGTCTTAGATTAATTGAAACATTTAAATGAATTGAATAATAATCCTTGAAAAGTATTTTATTTTTAAGTAATCAATATATAATTTTAAGTTTTTAATTTATTAGTTACGTTTTATTTTTATCATTTAACAAGCTTGTAGGTGAAATAAAGTTTCGAGACTTGATTAAAATATATTCTACTAATAAGAGAGATAGAGGGAAATAGTATGTATGCATGCATGTGAGGACTTTTCTCATCCAATTCGTTTAACAGAAATGTATGTGTTGTTGTGAGTGATTGAATTCGATAGAATAAAATGATTGTTAGGGGATAATAAATGGTTGCCTTTACCGTGTATTTTTGGTGTGAGGATAAAGGTTCTTTAAGCATATATTTGGGGTTCACATTTATTTTTGTTAATTAGGTCAAACTTTTGTTGATTACACAGGAGGACTGGGTTTTGTGTAGAGTATTTCATAAAGGCAAAGCAGACAACAGTGCCAAACTCAACCAACAACTCATGTTCGAGACCACAGTTCCATCCCTAACTTTGGCTTCATCATCACCAACCAACCAAACTATGCCGGTTGGGTATAACCAACTTGCCCCTTTCTCTTCCACAATGGCAACCCATCATCATCAAAACCCAAACCAAAATAATTCTTTGATGAATCTCCTTCAGTTTTCTCGGGAAACAAATTACAACAACGGTAGTAGTGTTACTCAAATTAGTCCCAAAGGTGACGATGAATATGGGTTCTTATGGGACATGGATTTGGAAGAAAATAGCTTCCATGATGGGGTGGCCTCAAACTTGGACGGAATGAGATTCGAGGTTGATAATAATAGTATGGTCTTGTTATAAAAAGTGTAATGTGTACATAAATATGTATATGAACCATGGTTCATATCTGGCAAGTTACCGAAATTTGTTGATTTGTGATGTGTTGATGATGTTTGGCTTCAAGGGGCAAGTCACGTGCTTGATTGGGATGAGTTGTTCGATGGTTGTGGTATACTCTTCATCAAGTGCTCAGTGTGTTTAATTAGGCTTTTTCGTTATTATTGTTATTATTTGGGGGAAGGGTGGTGGCCGGTGGGTACACGTATTAGCATTTGTAGAGGGAATTAATGATCTTTAATTATGTACATATTTGTTAATTTATATATAGTTATTGTCAAACAATTAGCCACTATAATTCTATTTTCTCACTTCCTATATTGTTTCATATTTGTCTTCTATTTGTGCACGGAATAGCGGTGGAATTGACTTATGTTTATATGCGATGGATAGAAATGAATGCAAAAAATTTTTAGGGATGAGAAGGTCTTCAACTAACTTAATTGTGATTTTGAAAAACTTTGTATTGATTGTATTTTTGGGGTAACACTAGGCAAATATGCTTGTCTAATTTTGTCAGTGATGTAACATTTGAAAACAAAAGAAATGACCTACAACGAGTTAGATATGGTACTAAATGAATTATGTTTTTAGAAAAGACAAAAATTCAAGCTCGAAAAATATTACTTGTAAAAATATCCACTAAAACTCAACAAAAAATAAAAATCCCTTACAATCACATCGCCTCAAGGGAATTGGCCTAACACCTATATAAATAAAATATAATAAAAAAAGAGAACGAAATAGGAAAAACAAAAATAAGAAGCTTCTTGTTTTTTGTCCCAATTTCACTTAGATAGATAATAAGATAAAATAATGATATTTACACATTAATTTCATTGCATTATTTTTACAAAAATTGTTTTAGATAATAAAAAATAACATTTTTCATTTTCCAAATAAAAAAGTAAAAAAGTGTATGAATTATGATGAAAATATCATTCCCGGCTCTATTGTAGGTGTTGACTAGAAGTGTAAATAAGTTAGGTTAGGTTAAACTTTGACTTAAATAGGTCAGGTCTGTGTAAAAAATAATTGGGTCAGGCTTGACTTATATAAGCCCAAAAGTACAAGTTTGGCCTTACCTATATTTAAAAAATAAAAGCCTTGGCCTAAGGCTGTTAGTCTGTTTAAGCCTATTAAACATTCAATAATTAAAAGAATAATTAAAATAATATTACTTTATTATTCAAAATTATTAAAATTATGATTTTATTTAGAATAAATAATATGATATAGGCCGGCTTGTAGCCTTATAGGCCCGACATGTACAAAAAAGTCCATGACCTGTTTTCTAGATAAATTTTTTTAAAAGTCTAGGCATGTTCTATTTTACTATTTGTAATAGGTCAAGCCTGACCTAATATAGGCGAGGCCAAGCTTGGCCTAATATAGGTGAGGCCCTAGGCCTCTATAGGTCGGCCTAACCCATTTACACCCCTCGTGTTGATCGGATACATTATATTACTTTATTTTGAAATCCTCCTTCTATATGTGTGTGTGTGTTATGGACTAGATCCATATATTAATAGCATATCCATTAAAGAATTATGATATATCTTATTCATATCCTAAAAATAAAATATGATAAGAATCAAAGGATAAGACCCTTATCCCTAGCAACTAGAGGCACAATCTCATATCAACTAGGAGATCTAAACAGCCCAAATGAGAGATGTAACCCATATAAATAAAAAGCTAAAGACCTCATGTACACACTTTTAACCTATTTACTTTTACTGTCAACACTGTGCACACTCCCACGTCTTGGCTATAAGCCTATTGTTTGTGTGCAATGATTGAAGTATTGGCTATAGGCCAATCAGGATATCTATCTTTAAATTATCTCTGAGCGCATACCATAGGTATAGATCTTCGGTTCTCTGGGATCAAACAATATGCATGATATTATTTTTTAATAAATTATTTAATAGCTTTTAATATGAAATGTTGCGTTGCTTTTTATATATTATATTTATTATTTAATATTTGTGCTAGTTATGTCATTTATTATTATTTGTTGTTATAGTGCGTTATGTCATTTATTTTGTTTGTTCTTTAAAATTTAATTATGTCATTTAATTTTTATTTCAATATATATTGCTTTGCATATTATATATATATATATATATATATACACACACACATGGGTTTAATTCTCATATTGTAGGAGATAAATTTTATCTCCGCATAAAAATGTGTGGGGTCCATGTGCACTCATGTGAAGAGAAGAGAGAGAAATAGAAAATATGGGTCCTACACACTTTTATGTATGGGTAAAAGATAAATTTATCTCCTACAACATAAGAAACAATAAACCCATATAAATATAGGGTCAAGATCATTTTACACCAGTGTAAGTTACACTCTAAATCTTGTCCGTTAAACTCACTTATATCTAAGGGCTCTACTTTTTTAGTAATGTGAATCATTGGATACAAGTGGATCAATGGTCAAGATTGAGTGTAAGGCTTCTAACTCTTACACCGGTGTAAGAATATCCTGTCCCATATTTCCAAAAAAAAGAATATCCTGTCCCATATATATATATATATATATATATTGTTGCTGTTGTTGTGAAACACGTATTTTACATGGTGTATGACTACCTTAATTGCTTTGTGGTTACAACTTAGGAATTTTTAGGTGCCATTGTAAGCTTTATGGTTACAACCTTTTGTATTCCTTAATAATGGTTCATTAACCTACCTGTTATGTATATGGTGTAACCTCTTCTTCTTCTATTTAGAGATGTATCTTATGAAGACAAAGAATAAAAAATAAAGATTACAGCAGTTCCTAAAGAACTAGGCTTTTAAATCCATATTTCATATGTCTTCATCTCTTTCTCTATATGTCTTCATATTTTCCTCTACATTTTTCTCCGTATTTTATAATACGTTATCAGCACGATCAACTCTCTAACAGTGTAGCAGCATGAGGCTTTAATGGTGTAGTAGCTTGATGTAGCAAAATCATTTGTGTTTCTCTTCAAGCAACAATCTCTATCAATCAAGTGATGAATGTTGAATTGAGGATTTGAAATCAATGTTGAGTTGTATCCAAGTCATTTCCACGTCAATTTCCACATAAGGGATGTGATTGCTGAGCTATGTACATTTAATAGTATCTAGTTTTAATTGATGTAGCAATTATAGGAATTAATTGTAATTAAAAATGATTGATAAGAGATATAAATTCTCTCATTTTGATTATTTTTTATTTCCTGATTTGTCGCTTGATTGAAGCCCAAAATTAGTGTATATAATTACCTCTGTACAAAGGAAGAAATATACAGTTTCCATTATTGACATGGTATCACGAGCATTGTTTCAGTACTCGTCAAAAAAATCCCTCATTGTTTTGCTCTCATTTTTTTCCCACCCACCCGTATCTCACTTTTTTCATACGTCTTGTTTTTCTTGTATCCGTATTCGTATTCCCATTTTTTTTCAAATCCCTAATTTTCGATGGCTACCAACAATTCTGAAAACCCCAATTCTACTCATGTGCTTTCTTCTTCTCCCCAGAACATCATCCTTCAACAAGGTCATTCCTCCCTCCCTATCACATTATTCTTGATGATACCAACTATCTCTTATGGTCGCAACTCATGGATATGCATATTGGTGCTCGCAATAAAGGTTGTTACCTTATCGGTGCTACCAAGAAACCGAATCATAATGATCCTGCCTATGATGCTTGGGTTACTGAAAACAAACGGGTTAAGAGTTGGCTTATTGATTCCATGAGCCAACCCCTCATGCAACTCTTCCTCCGTCTTGAGACTGCCAAGGAAATCTGGGACGCTGCGATGCAAACCTTACGAGACATGTCTTTTTGAACTCAACTAACGGTCCTTCAACACCAATTAACTGGGTTGCCTGCATTCCATGTACTATAATGAATTGTTGTCCATTTTCCAAGAAATTGATCATCGCTTTCTGACTAGGATGACACGGTTAACGGTGTCCTTCATCTGCATTCGGCTATGGCTCATCTCAGGGTGCATATCTTCCTTAGTGGCCTTGATTCCGAATCTGATTAAGTTTGTGGTGAGATTCTATGTAAAGATCCCAAATTGGATCTTGAAATTACTTATGCCTACATCCATCGTGAAGCACAACAATGCCTCACTATGGGACACTTTCAGCCTAGTGATAGTGCTACTTTCTCACACATCCACCTCGCTCAGGGCCTTCCCCATCTTATGGCCGCAATCACACAAACAAGCCTTCCTTTATCTGCTTTCATTGCAATGAGAAAGGTCATTCTCAGCAGCGCTTCTTTGAGTTAATTGGTTACCCTGATTTGTGGGATTTCACCAAGAAACCTCGCGTGAAGGCCTCTGGCAAAGGTTTGATTGCAACTTCTGATGTAGATCCCCCTCCATCTTCTACAAATATTGCCTCCTCCTCCATCTTCTGCAAATATTGCCTTTGCTAGTATTTTAGGTAAGCCACATGCTTTCTCTACACACTCTGGGAACTCTACCTGGATCATTGATACAAGAACCTCAAATCATATGGTTCAGGATTCTACTACCCTCTCCAATGTTAAACCTTCCACCCAATTTGTCCTTTCAACTGCTAATGGTGGCACCTCAATTATTATTGGTCAAGATTCCATTGTTTTATCTGATAAACTTTCTCTTCATTCTATTCTTATTGTTCCCTCTCTCAACTTTAATTTATTATCTGTGAGTCAACTTACCTCTATTCTTAATTGCCCTGTCACTTTTTGGCCACTTTCTGTGTGTTTCAGGACATCCCCACCCAGATGATACTTGGTTATGGTATTAAGCATGGAAAGCTCTACGTTGGAGGTTACTGAGGAAGGTGATAACAAATTGGATTGTCCTCTGCCACCACCAGTTTAGATAAGGCCAATGACTCAATCTGGCTCTGGCATAAGCGTTTAGGCCATCTTTCATTTAGTTATCTTAAGAAATTGTCTCTTGTTTT